AACCCAATCAATTGAGATATTTATGGAAATGATGAGAGTTCATTTATTATGATTTGAATATTTATGGAAGATGACTAAGGTTCATTAATTATGATCAATATTTTATATTAGAAAACAATCAAAACTTTTATGAAATCACATATTCATCAAAATAAATGAATGGTTGAAATTGAGTTGTATTGATTGTACAAATGTAAAAAGTTGTATAATAACTCATCTATATATATATATATATATATATATATATATATATATAATTAATTAACTTGGATATATAATCTCCTATGCGAACCGACTAATTCTAGAACGACTATCTGCTTTGTAGGTAGTTTAGAGTCATAGCATTTGAACCTACGTGGCCACAAGAGATTTTTATTCCTCCTTGGATTTGAATCAGTGACTTTCAGACACTTTTAACCTTTGGAGGCAAAACTCAAACCAATCAGGCACCGCTCTCGTGGTTAAAGGTTTTTGATATTATAAATAAAGGAAAAGTCTAAAATACTTTGATTAGAGCTTTATACAAGTTGGGTTGGCCGTGTTCAATGCATATGAACAATCTAATGTTTACAGTTTAAAAAATCTTAATCCAAGCAAAATTACAACCCAATCTGTGCAGGTTAGGTTGGTCAGATTGAAACTTTAATACATCATTTTATAATCTAGCTAAGTGTTTATATTTGAACGAAGTAAAAAATAAAAAAAAGATAATGTAAAAAAAATGGTAACAAACTCAAAAAAGAAAGTTGAAGGTTGATGTAAATAAGAAAGTAAAATTGCGGTTGAAATTGTAATATAATTTTAAATATGGCTAATTACGGATTGGTCTAATGTCTAATGTACATATGTTAATTAATGACTTAATAATCGTATTTCAGATTCATAATATAGAAAGATATCGGGTTCATCCGGTTGGGTTGGGTTCAAATGACCCTGACCCAATAGATTCGATTTGGCCTAATTTTGTATCAATTATGTGTCGGGTTACTTCGGGTTGTGTTTTTTGGGCTGGGCGGGTTGTCGATATTTTGAGCACACGTACCGCCAATGAGTTATCATGTTTGATAAACGACCCTTAAATGTTAATTTTTTTTACTAAAAATCATAAGTTAAAAAAGTGAATCACAGACATAATTGCCTCTCACTAACGAAAATTTAATTGACGACTTCGGTAGAAGGGACCATATCCATTATACAAATAAAACTAATAGAGATGCCATTTATTAAAATTCTTTTCAGAGAGTTTGAGGCTGTTTACCAAAAACTTATCCGATAAGTGCTTATCGGTAAAATTCAACAACGAACTTACAGGGTACGATTTTAGTTCACCAAAACGGCACCGTATGCAATAATTTACCGGATAACCTCCTTACCATGGTAAGAGTCGTTGTCTTCACTTACCGGGTAAGACTCTTGTTTCTTGTCTCGTTCTTATCGGGTAAGATTTTTGATCCTTGCCATATTCATCCGGTAAAATAATATGACTTGATAAGTGCTTACCTATGTAAGCCTTTGATAAACAACCATTTATTAATTTATGTAAACCACAAGAACCAAATTTGCATAGAACTCCAAATCATTTGTATTATTGATTTAAAAGAAAAGGAACAAAGACCCACTAGATTATACATGGACATGATCATGAAGTTGGCTTTAGTGGCGGACTTATTAGAAGCTGAGCGGGTTCTCGTGTATCTGTTCATTCGATAATTGCAGTAGAAAAAAATTCAGACACTTAAAAGATGTACTGATTTGATTTATATTTTAAAACTGAATCTATAACACAAGTTAAATATCGGCCGACATCATGGTACACCATCTGATACTCGTGTTGTGATTTTCAACGTCCATTGGTCGTGGTAGTTCTTCTTAGTCAATTTGCATTCGCAGAAAGCCACAATATAAGAATAAGGGGTGTGACCGTACACGTGGTTGGATAGTCGGAGTAGAGATTGTTAGCCTTCTTTCACAAAAAAATAGACAAGAAGAACAATATGAAGAAGGGTTGGGTTCACGTGAGACCAAAAGTTTTTAGTGAGATCCGTAAGACCAATTTATGTTCATTGATCAACTTTATAAGCTAATGATCTAATAGTCTAAAGTTGTACGGTGACAATTTTGTGATTATCGAGAAGTCTCGTGGCGTTTATGGATATTCAGATTGTAGATCTAATCCAATGGTCGAGAATTGGTCGTACGAGTCTCACGAAAAACCCTTGGTCTCACATGATCCCAAGTCATATGAAGAATGCACAAATATCGGCTTATTAGGTTAAGTTTGGTTAGATTTTAAATAATTAAATTGTCTTTTTCTTATTGGGTCTTAGTCTATCAAAAGCTTGGGCCATTTAATGTGGTCTTATTAGGATAATTAATGTTGCATTTAAATTGTAATAGGCTTCCACAAATGGGCTTTAGAGCATCCATAATGGGAGCTTTTTAGAGAGCTTATTGGAAAAGCTTTGTTGGTCATAGAAGGTAATTTTAATATGGTCGATTTTTGTAATCAGTTCTGCTACAGCACCCACTGAGTAGAGATTTTTCCTTAAACTGTTTATGGCTTGATGGTTTTTAATTTTATTTTTTAAGTTTTTTTATTAATTATAATACAAAATTTTAAAGATCTTTACACAATTTTCAAAAAATATTAGAAAACTAAGGAGCTGTTTACAAAACGTTTATCCGGTAAGTGCTTATCGGGTAATTTTTCTTACCGATGAACATGACAAGAGTAAAAAATCTTATGCGATAAGAACAATGATAAAGATGGAGAGTTCTTACCCGGTAAGTGAGAGTGACGACTCTTACCCGGGTAAGTGCTTACCGGGTAAATTGTTGCATACGATATCATTTTAATGTACTACAATCTTACCCTGTAAAATAAATTATAGTGTTAACTCTTAACGTAAACGCTTACCGGGTAAACATTTAGGTAAACGACCCTTAAATTTCAAAAACCGTAATAAAAAAAACATTAATAACATTTTTATGTAAAAAAAATATTTTTTTTTCTAAAACCGAGTCTGGCCTTGGACCAATATAGGGATTGGGAACCAAAGGGCTTTTAGTTTAGCGGTATGTGAGTCATTGGCCTCTTAGGAGGTCAAGTGTTCAAACCTCACCAAATGTGAACAGAGTGTGCGAATTTATTTGTTCTATTTGTCGTATATAAATATTATATACTTCTAATTTAAATGTAGGGACTGGGATTAGGACCCGTTATCTGGCCTATGATCAGTCCTAGGGTTATTTTGAAGAGACCGATTTAAGACATGCACGACTGAAACTGATTTATAGTTATCTGTACTTGTGACTAGACAAGCTTTGAATACGATACTTTAAAATCAATAGCTATGTTTATAATTAATTAATTTAGGCCATGATACGCAACTTTCAATACTGTGTACCAATCAAGTTTGCATACTTTATATGATACTATTAACAACTATAATTGATACCAATTTAATTGATACACATAGAGCTGTAATCGAACCGAAAGAACACGAACAAAGGCTTGTTCATGTTCGTTCGTTTAACTTAACCGAACAAACGAACGAACACGAACCGTAAACGAACGAAAATCTTTGTGTTCTCATTCGTTCATTTAGAAATCAAGTGTGTTCGTTTATGTTCATTCATTAACATGCTAAACGAACGTAAACGAAACGAACATAAACGAACGGGCTAAACGAACATAAATAAATATTATTTGAATTCAAAGTAAATAAACAAAAGATTATATATTAAATTTAGTATATAAACGAACGAACATTTACGAATATAAATGAACGAACGAGACTCTTGTTCATGTTCGTTCGTTAAACTAAACGAACAAAAATAATTGTTCATGTCCGTTCATTTATTAAATAAACGAACATAAACAAACTTCCCGCCGAACGGTTCGCTGAACGTTCGGTTCGTTCACAGCCCTAGATACACATGTTGGCTGATTTTTTTATAGAAAATTCTCATCCTTACATTTAATTTTTTTTTGAAGTATATAATATTTATATACGGCAACTAGAACAAATAAACTCAAACACACTCATCACTTTTGGTGAAGTTTAAACCCTCTGACCCCCCTAAAAAGCCAAAGACTCACATACCGCTAGATCAAACACCATTTGGTTTACATTT